TTCTATTATGTTTCCGTCTAAGGCTGCTGTCACTCCTGATGTGGCCCCTGCCTCTAGTGTCATCTGGGGCTCCTCTGTCCCCTGCATGGGAAGGTAATATGTCTTCTCTAAGCTGTCATATGTCTGCCCACTCACTCTCCCCTGGGCAGTCTTGAGTCAGCTCTTGTTTTTTTTCCTGAGTTGAAGACCACACAGTAGAAGGAGTTGTGAGAACATTCCAGAAAACATTGGCTGTCAGAGATTTGATTTGAGAAACCCCAGGCCCTGGATAGAAGCTAGAATTGTGGGGGGGGGGGGGGGGATTTGGGAAACTTTTTATTTTTAAAGATCTCCTATCTTCTCGCTGCTTTTCTGTCTCTCCCTACTTAGGTATGATGTCACAGGGATTTACAGAGATGGGGAGGACTGAACAGCCAAGTAATGTGCTTAATGCTTCCTAGCTACAAGTTAATAGTTTTGGAGGTAAGCATCTACCAGGGATCAAGCCATAGTGATACCTGCTTCAGAAGAAATCTGACTTCTCTATCCACCCTCCTGGGCTCAACACATTTATACAACCTGTACCAACTCTTCTTCCCCTATGGGATTCCTATAGCTGCCTCTTCATCCCTACCTGGACTTAAAACAGAAATCCAAATAGATTTCTTTACAATTATCCATAGTATAAAAATAAAACAAACATGAGACTCAAACCCTGTTCAGTGGCTGTGCTGTCCCTCACACCTCCCAAAATTTCCCATTATCACTTTAAGAAGGGATTTCTTTGAAGAATATTAATATCTCTTCCTTCCCTACATCTCAAGTTTGAAAATAAAAAAAGAAATAGTTTGCAACTTGAGAAGAGTTCAGTAGTTGGGTTTGGGTTAGGGTCCTATAAAATCCAAGTGGTTTACAGGATTGGAACTTCCCTCGTTTTTCACTTGGGGGTGGGGGTTTGTTTCCTTTAACAAAGAATGCATAGGGTACAATGGTAGAAGGGCAAGGGAAGCCAGGGGAGGCTTTATTCTATATTATCAGCATATCATAGAATTAAATCATATTCAACACAAGCTCTATCTACCTCAATCACTAAATTTAGTCAAGTGAAAGTCTACAGGACTCTTCATTGATAGGCTTTTCATCTACTTCATGAAAATAACTATACATGACACCAAGACTCTTTAAAAAAAAAAAAAGAATGAAAACAGAAACCGGCCCCTCAAAAGACAATGTCCTATGCTTTTAATGCCTTCTCCTAGAAGGGCTGATTGGCACCCCACAAACTTACTAAGGCAAAAAAAAAAAACAAACAAACAACCAAAAAATCAGTGTTTGATATCTTCCATAATGGAAAGATTTTTTTTTAAAGAGTAATAGCGCTGATCAGGTACAATAGACCAATCAAGTTTTCCTAAAATTTAGTATTTGCAGTTGAAGCCTGGGTAAGTAATTACACTCACAGGGAGCCATCAATCCCTATTCATTCAGTCACATTTAGTGAGCCAAGAGATTTGCGAGGCTTGAAGATATAAAAATGAATACGGCCCAGCTGCTTTACTTCCAGCTAAAAGAATACACCTAAACAAAGAGCTCTGGGGGGATGTGTTAAGTGCTATGATCGAGGTACGCACAAAGGGCTGGGGCCAAAGGAAAAAGCCATAAATTCTTGCTGGGAAATGAAGCAAGCGAGGGGAGACTGCTAAGAAGGGGTGAGATACTTCCTTGCGATAAGCTGGAGAATTTTCTTTCCTCTGTTCTGCAAAGGAAGGTAGTCATTTTAAGACTTAGAAACTATTGTTATTCTGCGCACTATCTTGGGTCCACTATCAGTTTCCCTAACATCTGACACACACTTCCATCTACAACAGTGTAAGACCAGAAAAACTTTCTGATGGGTAATCATTACATTCCCACAATAACCACGCAATATGGGAAGGCAGGAGTCCCCGGCATGAACTTCGAGCTCAAGTTCAAAGATGTTTTGAAACAAACAAATGAACAACAAACTTTGGAGAAGTCGCATGCAATATTCATGCTTCTCCTTAACATAAAAGGAAAGGGCATCACCTGATTATATCACGGCTCACATCTGTCTTTCTGTCTGTGCTTCAGAAAGAGAAGGGGATGTTGAACGGGCGTCTACTTAGCTCCATTCATTATGCAGACCATATTCCTACTTATAACACAGTTGTGACAAAACCTCCATTGTTCATTGCACACTAGCCCCAAACTTGAATCATCCTAATGTAAGCATGAGAAACTCTCGGCTCCTTTGGGGTGAATTTCCAAATTCCTCTGTGTTAAATTGAGGTCTAATTTTCCCTGTGCCTGGTTTTCACAAGAAGGTCCCTTCCACCCCGTGTGCCCCCTTTCAGCTGTCAATAAACAGAGGCAGTGAGTTCCCTACAGCTTTACAAAGCTAGTTGGGCAGAGCCATTCATTCCTTCAGGAAAACAGGGCATTGATTTCAGTGAGTTCCCAGGGAGCAGCGGGAACAAAGAGATCAAAGTCCCACCTCTCTTTCCCTCCAAAGCTTTCATTAGGCCCGGCCCAGACAAACTGCGACAGGTCTCCTTGAGACCAGGAGAGGGCCCGACGGACCACCTCATGGTTCAATGCAAATTCATCCGTTTCCTACATTCCAGTGACAGTCCAGAATGCTACCCATGACAAACCGACACAATCGTCTGGCATAATATACTGCTCGCTAGTTCATCCAAGGTCAGAGGGAGAAAACAAGCGCCAAGGGAAGTCCTAGGTTTCTGGGGCCTGCTGAGCCTCAATGGCCCTCTGACAGTCCATAAATAAACTCTCGCTTTCCCCCTTCTTCCTCCATCCCGTATCTTTGGGAGTGATGATCTCACTTGACGGTCTGAAATTTCTTTCACGCCACTGAACCCAAACTCTCTGGAAACTTTATTTTCAACCCGAGAACTCTAAAGGTGCAGCCCTTATCAATCTATTCCTATATCACAGCAAACCTGTTACACCCAGCAAGCTCTGGTTTGCTCCAACTGAAAACCGTCATTTCTCATTTCTAGGCTTTCCCAAAAGCAGGATCCCCAGGGAAGGCCACGCAGCTCAAAGAGGAGCATAGTTTGTATAAATTCTGTTTGCAAAACAGAAGTGGGAACGGGGACAGAACAGTTACTTTTTCCCCCTTTTGGTCCAGGGAATCACCCGAGCTGGCTCACCAGGTCCTAAATAGCATCTGTGTGTGAAAGAATGTTTGTATTTGAGGGAGTGAAGAGGGCTAGCCAGGGGCAGGGTGACCCGGAGGGAGTCTAAAGGAAAATGTGTTTTCCCAAGGGGGGTTACCTCTATTGAATAAACATAATTAAAAGAGTTTCTAAATTTGCCCTTGAATTCAGAACTGCTCCTTTGACACAGCCTTCACAGAACCCTGTAATGCAATGTGCTCCTTTGACTGTGGTTCAAGCCACATCTGTCGCTCATCCCCAGTCAACACGAGGAGCGATGGGTTACCTTTCGAAGTTCCCAAACTGAATGGAAAGTAAACAACATTGGAATGAAAGACACGGAAAGCCTACTTCTTGATGCAGAACACCCCCCACATGTCCCACCCCAAGCCTCAGGACTATCCTGGGGCTCACCACAGAGTTCCTGAGGCCTCGATTCACTGACTCTTGTCTCTCTTCACCTACGGAAGAGGTACCACAGAGGGTACCGAGCAGCCCTCTGTGAAAGCTTGCCCTTGTTTTCAAAGTTGGACAGAAATTAACTAAGAAAGCCCGGGCAGGCTGACTTAGCACACGCCTCAAGTCTCAGCATGGCACCAGATACTGGGGCTGCTGGGCTACGAGTTCAAGGCCAACTTAGGCTCTTTAAAGAAACCCTGCCTCAGAAAACTGAAAAGTGAGGAGGAAAGAAAGGTGGCTTGTGACGAAGACAAGTGATGTCAAGAATGTTAAAGCTAAATCTGGCCACTGACTCACGTCAGGTTCAGGGGTTACACTAATGCCTCTGCCTTCCCAGCCTTCTGAAATGGAGACAGAAATATCTGTCAAGATATTTTTTAGAAGGTACTGTGAAATTAGCATGCCTCGAGAACTTGCTTCATTCTAGGGAGCTGATCTTATGAACAGCTTCCTATAATTACAGGTCACTCTAACTCAATCGAGGCTCTCTGGAAACCCATTAAGTTCCTCTAAATCAAATTATTTTTCAAAAGTACTCATGAAACGTACTACTTACAGAAAGCCTGTGGCAAAGGTCACATACACTCATCAATTCATTGACCCATCTTTCAGAAGCATTTGCAGAGAAGGCAGATATTACAACTTGATCCGCCTCATAACTGAGACGTTATGAGTCTGCTTTTCAGAGGGGAGAAAATGGGTTCCAGTGAGTGGAGAGACTTGCCCAAATCATACAGTAGCAGGGCGGGAACTTCAAGGGTTCAGACCTCACACTGCTCCCATTATACCATCTACTGGGTACTCTGGTTATAATTATCCACAGAAGTCCTGCGTCCCTAGCTACATTTAATAAGCAATAATGTTACTACCCTCAACACCCTTTTTAGTATCCCACTTTCTGATTTCTGTGGTCTGTCTCTATCTATCTATCTATCTATCTAGCAGTTGCATTATAATAGAGATCCTTTATAAATCCTTATTTCTCATTTAACAAATACCCTTGTGCCATTTTTGAGTTTGTTATAGAAGACTTTCATATGGTAAATGGATTTTTAAAATATCAAATTACTATCACTGCCTGGGGTGCCTTTATTTTCATTATGTTAGCAATATCTTCTGACAGTTCCTAAATCAATATGTTGAATTTTGTTCTAGAGAGTTCTGTTTCACCCATCTTGGGGATATCAGAAAATAGACACCAGTCTCCAAAGTGTTTGTCTTAACTTGCTTACTGGTTAGAATGTTAATTGACATTATGAAGCAAAGGGCAGTATGGTCCTGTAATTCAGGGGTAAATGTGTTAAGATGTTGGAGAGGAGGATTTTTCAAAAGTGGACAAAGAAAGACCAAATACCAACTTACAAAAGCCAACGACTCGGTGTGCAAATCCGGCAGGAAGAACCTGAAAGCAAACAAAAGGTATTTGTGAGCACCACACAGCACTGAGCATGCCCTGGTTAAGGATAATTCTGAGACTGTTGCAGATTCGAGTTAAGTTTTTAAAGACGGTCTGGAATTAGTTTCCCCAGCTTCAAGATTTCACAAAACCACGTATAACATTACAACTCTATTAACACAGTTCAGTCTTTCGAGAGGTCTCCAGTTTCATTGGAGATGTACATTGCCTTCTGTACAGCTCTGCCATAGGCACCAACCATATCACCACCAAGGTTAAGACACAGAGCAGGTCCACCAGCACAAGCGGCTCCCACACGGCTTTTCTACAGCCACAGCCGTAACCACCACCATCAGGCTGCTGTCTGTTTTAACATTAAATATCCATCCACTTATTAAGGAAAAAAATAAAGACATCATTCATACCTAAGAGACCACTACTAAGTAGTATATCGAACCATGATTAATTAAAGAATTCTGTTCTTATGCACTGGAATAAGTTTTAATTCAGAAAACAAATTTTCTTTCTTCTCATTGCTACTACAGGATAAACCACTTATTTCTAAGCCCAAACAGTAAAAGTAGACATGTTCTTTAAATTATCATTCCATATTTCCAGCATATCTCTAACAAGAAACCTTTGGCTCTTTACCATAGGACCATGTAGGGTTGTTTTTACACATTACTTCACTTAATATGCATACTGTTATCACCCCTGTGCGACCAGGGGGAAACGAAGACCTTGAGAAGCTGAATAAGTTTTATATGGCTTAGTTAGCAGTGTTTGGGGGCAGATAATTGGCTTCTAGGCCCAACTATCCCTCAAGAGGATAAATATTAATAACATTAAGATGTGTTGTCACCACAAAACCCCCAATTATTGCTAGACTTCATCATAATAAAGAGAAACTGAATAGGAAAAATGGCCCCAAATAATGACGCCAGTGTTTTGTTCTTTTGTGAGACAAAACACATGTTATATAACCCAAACTGGGCCAGAATTCTCCCTTCTGTTGTTTCGGCCTCCCAAGTGTGTGCCGCATTATCCCAAACAGTAATTTACAAAATAAAAATGAGTCTTTATTCAAACACAAAATGATAGAAAATGGTCAAAGCAAAACAAAAAAGCAAAGACTAGAGCACAAAGGAAGACCCCTATTAGGAAAACGAACCATTCGGCAGCCCTTGAATTGCTAGCCCAGTGATGTCAGGCGGTTACAGACACGTAGTCAGGCTGACCTTTGAGAAAGCGCATTCAGGGAGCAGAGGTGATGATGAGCGGCGACATTTTCAGTCACAGATAAAAAGCCTCGAAATTAGGCTCTTTAGCCAATAGAGACATCAAAAAGCCTAAAGGTAACATCCAGATAATGATAATAATTCAGCTGCATACCTATCAGGACGGAATTTCTGTAGCTTTATTAGCTTAATGACACCGCATTATTACTGAAGATTAGTAGCTATTTTCTCACGCAACCAAACAATGCATTTATGCATAGCTGTGGCAAATTGGCCAATTCAGCAATACTTAAGAGGGACCTATCCAATAAGCCACTGATGTCCTGTCCCAGATACTCGGGCTCCGCTTTGTTTACAAATGTCTCCTTCATGGTCTAGGGTCAGGAGGTGGCCAAGGGATGCGAACTCATTACTAGCATGTGTTAGTGTGCATATTAGCTATACATGAAAACGAGGGGCGATGGGGAGCTTCATTTCCATATGAAGCCACATCATTTTAAGAGATGGGGACAACTCTACCTTACCAACATTCTAATCTATCAGCAACTTTAGAATGCTTATATTTTATTCCATTTGTGGAAGCCATGATGAATTAATGCATTTTAACTAAACTTTCTCTTCCCTCTCAGTTACTCAAACATGATTTCTTCACTGGGGGAACATGAATGCATGCTGAACTCTCTTAACTCTGGTGGCTTGCCCTCGCAGAGACTCCAGAGACTGTCCACCATCATAATGCCTCCCCATACTGTGGTCATTTCACTCATTTCTTCTCTTCCCGCTGCCCTTCCTACTCCCAGTGTTTTACACGTGTCTGCCAGCATCCTTCCCTCATGGCTCCCTGAGAACACAAAAGCTATTGGACAGGGCATCTCGCCCTTTTAACTCTGAAACTGCACGCTTTCCTCCAACCACAGGAGAACGTCTTCCTAAAACCGGAAGCCGATCCCACTGCTCCATCTAAAGTTTTCTCTACTTTACCCCTCCCCCACTTTCCACTGTGACTCATACCCCCACTATACAGCATACTCTGGTGTGTCCCTGCTTTAAAAACAAACATGCCTTGACCCAGCGGTGCCCTCCAGCTCTGACTCAACTTCCATCCTTTCTCAGAGAAACTTCGAGAAAATCCACATTGCCTGGCTTCCTCCTCACTTCTTAACCTTCTTTGAAACACTTTGTCAAAGGATCCATATTAATGCCACCGAGGAATTCTTATCCTTATTTTAAAAATTGGGAGGTGGACGCTTAGGAGACAGCTTGAGGGTCAGAGTGAAAACGCCTCTCCTTGGAGTGACTGGGGAAGCCCAGGGCTGACCCAAAGCATTCTTTCAGGGTACCAGACTGGGGACTTCCTTCCTCTCTGTGCTAACTTATTTATGTAAGCTAATTTGCTTGGCAACCTAAGAAACAGGTGATTTTTATCTCTTTAATGAAATTCGACCATGACTAAAAGGGAGTAAGAATCCTTCCCTGTGTCGCCTTAGTGGAGCAAGCACTTGACCTTGGTCACCTGCATTCCTAACCCTAGATTCCCTGGGTTTGGGGAGGGCTCCTTTCTCTTAGCTGTCCCCCCCCCCCCCCTTAGATGGTGGCGTGATAAGAGAGCCACTGGGAGATCTGTGACCCAGTCCTGACACCTCCAAGAGATAAGAGAATTTAGAGCTGCTGTAAAGTCATTACTGTGCCTCAGGAACTGATTGACCTGTCACAGCAGGGCTGTGACAATTTGCATTGTAAACCTAAGAGGCGATTAGAGTGGTTACCTCCCCTAGCTCTACCCCAAAGCTGAGGTGGCGTTAAGGAGCCTGGGAGTGGCCTATAGGTCACCCCCAGTAGGACTACTACCCTCATTTCTTCCAGGCACAAAGATATGTACTTTCTTAGAACTTCAGAAGGCCTGGGTGGACGCTGGCTCTGCGTCACACCCGTGCTCCCTTCTGGACCTTCCTCAGCTGTACAATCTGTGAGCAGGCACATGCAGCTAGTTCTAGGCTAGAGTAACCAGGTTAACTGCTGGGAAAAGAGTCATCAAACATCCTTTCCTTGCTGTGTACCCAAGAAGACTAAGTATTCCAAGAAGTGTTACAACTATAAGGTGGGTGTATATTAACAGACTTGGGTCTCACTGCCTGGAACAAATCCACGGCAGACATTTGTACGAGCAAAAAGGAAAATTTAACTTTTGAGTAAAGTCACGGAGGACTGTTGCGCAGCTTGCTCCCACAGCATGGCCTTAACGCATCCTGACTGCAGTGAACTTGGTACCAGAAGTAGGTTTCTGCTTTAGCAAAACCCAAAATATACATAACCTTGACTTAGTGGTCAGGAAGCAATGAGGCAGCCGACCTCAAGAGGCAGGAAGACGCTGCTGCATTCTATAGAGTGGTGAGACGTGGCATTACGCCTTTGTCTCCGCCAGGGCAGGACGTACACCTCCTGGCCTAATGACCTTGTTTGTGGCTCTTAGAGAAAAGAGAAAAGAACAAAACATTGGAAGGCCGGGGCTGCTACTGCTTCTCAAAAGGGATTCTGAGAAAATTTAGTCAGAAAAACAAACAAACAAACATACCACCAGTTTCCAAAAAAGGCACTGGAGGTTGAGAAAAGATCATCGTTGAAAGTTCAAGGTCAGCTTTCACTACGTGGTGAGAGCCAGTGAAGAGAGGAAGACTGTAAAGGGCGTAAGGTCAGGAAAATGTTGCCAGATTACATGGCTTCAAGAACACGTGACAGCAAACGGACTGAATAAAAAAGAAGCTTTCTAAGAGAAGCCAGGGAGTCCCAGATGGCTTCTCTGGGGTCTAAGAGGAGCCATAGAAACGAGACAGTAAATCTACGGCATTCAGCTGAAAAGGGAAAAAAAAAAATCAAGGGTGCGTTTATTAATTAGCATACAGGACCGCCTGAAAATACAATACATAAATAAATACACAAGAAACCTTCCAAGTTCGGAAGATTATTGTGCTGCCAAAGACAAAAGCCTCTCAGAGAAGTGTTAAAATGACCCGTTGGCTGGCCCTCACACTTCCACTTGTAGGAAGTGAATAAAAAAATTTTTTTTGGTTAGTCCCCAAGTGAGGCAATTTCTCTAACCCTTGCTTAGTCCAATGTGACTAAGAACAGGAAGATGCTTAAAACAATGACCAAACAGACTCAGAGCCCAGAAAGAAACATTCTGCTTCCTTTGGGGTGTCCGTTTCAAACTTGCTACAAGTCAATCAATGACTCTTTCAAGTATAAACTTATAATAAAAAAAATATCAAAGACTAGGTTTGGATCTGTATTATTCTAATGATTCCAAAGAGGAGTCGGGAGTTTCTAATTTTCCTGTACAGCCCAGATTTCAAAGCCTCACACTGAATGGCATGTGCCTGTGTGCTCCATAGCATCCTCCGGGGCTGTGAATACCTTCCCTGGGCTTTTAAAACGCAATTCTCTAGATTGCAGCTTGAAGTATCTTTTTAGAGTGCAACAAGTTATTACACTAAAAGCATATGATGCGGACACACTTTACAGGAGGCCAGCCCAATGAACAGCTCCGCCTCACACACGCTCTCAAAACCTCAGCCAGGAGCCAAAGTAATGGCGATGCGAAAAATATCGGACATTATGCCTGGGAGACGCACGGCAGGGGCTGAGAGACTGACTGCATCCTAAACACAAAAGCAGCTAACCTCCATTTCAACATCTTACTGCTCTCTCTGGGAATGATTCGGGTACAGATGGAATGGGTCCCCGAGTCCCTCACAGTCCCCATGTCAAAGG